GGCGCAATATAAACCTTAGGAACTGCTTTATTTCTGGGAAACTGAATCCGCAGAAAATGAAACGGTACATAAGGGGAGGCCGCTGTATAGAATCACAGAAAACCTGCTCCGCCACCAAAGAAACTCCTCGCGGGAACACAGAGCCTTCCACCCCTTACACCTGGGGTTCCCCAACTTGTCTTCAAAAACTACAGATGCCAGCACCCCACCAACAGACTGTAATTCAGGAGATTCCAGTCACTGAACCAAACCAGTCAGGGCCCACAGGTCTTCAAGAATAACCCAGCCCCAGCCAGGCTCTGCTAAGAAAAGGCCCGAGGGGGAGGGCGGGGCAGTGTGCTAGACCATAGCCAAAAGCTACACCAGCACCTAGCCCTCCCCTGACCCTCTCCCCCTTCGCCGTGGCCTGTTCTGCCTCAACAACAGGATGTATGAGGCAGCAGCCCATCTAGTCTGGCAGGCAGAGCAGCCCACATCTGCCCCAGACTTTAAATGCTGCCACCCTGCATTTAACCCCTGCCTGACCGTCAGCCTCATTCTTTCTGGGACAAAAGGGGTTTTAGCAGTGAGCCCTTCTCCAGAGGGCGGCAGCCCACAGCCCAAGCTGCTGTCCGGGACTGGTCTTCACGGCGTGGGTGTGCCCCAGGTGAGCGGGCCCTAGCTCTGAGTCACTATGCTGGCATTTAGCGAGATATGGACTGGGTCCCTAGAGATTAGACTGTCACTTCTCACCGTGGCCTGGGGAGTAGGGAAGGGTCACATGTGCTGGTCTATCTGACTCATCCCTCCAAGCCTAATGCTCTTGCTACTTGGATGAGTTCAATCCACCTCCCCACCCCCACCTGGCATCAGAGAGCTCAGTGCAACCACAGGCTGCTTGTTCCCAGGCAGGGGAAGGAGACCCCAGAAACCCAGCCACAGCCGCCGGGGTTCCCAGTTTGCCATCACCAACCCAAGCCAGACAATACATAATTGTTCACATGAGGCTGAATAGCTTTCCTTAAAAAATGGAGCAAGCTTTCCCAAGCCACTTGGACTGAGCCAGGACCCAATTTTCAGATCATACAGGTATTTCTGAAGACTCCTGAGACTACCATGGATGACAGCAGGGATCAAGGAGGGTTCCGGAAGGGGCTGCTGTTGTAAGGACACTCCCATCACTCAGACCAGTGGTCGGCAAACCACGGCTCGCGAGCCACATGCGGCTCTTCGGCCCTGTGGCAAGGGCCACGAAGTTTCAATCGCACTGTACGTGCGTACCCGCACATGGTAGTTTGTGGAAGAGCCACACTCAAGGGGCCAGTTTGCCGACCACGGACTCAGACAAAACTCTACAAGGGCCTTAAGGACTAGCAAAGGAGTTGGCCTCCCTTGGGATGGTGGGACAGAGCCTCCCACCGCCCTCCTGGGAGCCCACAGTGCCAGCTCTTTGGAAGTTTAAACACGTGCAAATGGTGGTTGGCCTCCACACCCTGCCCCCACCGGGGAGGTCTGCAGGGGTGAGGCCCAGCCAGCTCCAGGCACTGCAGTAGATCAAGGAGGAGGCCGGAGAACGGGTGAATAACCTACAACTTCCAAGTGAGAGGGTGCTTGTTTCACCCTCCCCCAAACCAGGACAGCAGAAGCCCCCTCCCTGCAACCACAGATGGGAGCTGCAGAGATGACAGCGTCTAGCACATGCGTTCCATCACCAGAGACACAGCGAGAGCTCTGGGAGCCAATCCCCTCCACTTCCAACAGCAAGCCGAACCTGGAAGCTCCTGTCAGGGCCGGACCGCCCCTCCCCAGGCGGGTCTTCCTAGGCCAGGACGCCTCCCAGCAGCAAGGGCCGCTTCTGGAGTCGTAGAGTCGGATGCCTTTCAAAAGGCACCGAACTCGGGCCACAATTCCGGACCGACCCACCCACCCACACTCACTCCCTTGCCCCCAAAGCGCACGTGCTCAAGGCCATCGACCCCATGCGAGAGGGCCCAGGCCCGTCCCAGACCCGCCTGCGGGCACCTGTCTGCTCAGGAGCCTGCGCACCGGACCGGCTAGCGGGGGTCGGCAGCACAGCTCGCTGGTGCGCATGTACGCACCCCCCCACCCCCCTCCCCGCCCCCCCACCCGCCACGCGCGGAGCAATCCATCTGTCTCGGAGCGCTGGCTGTCAGAAATGAAAGTACGACCTCCTGGAACCGAGTCCCAGCCTTCTAAAAATGTGCCGTTTTCCCAGCCCGGGGAAGCGTGCAGGGGTGGGGTCGGCTCGCCGCAGGCCCGAAGGCCAGGGCCTGTCCCCGTCCAGCCCCGCTGCGAGGCTGGAATTCCGACCCGCAGCCAGCAGGCCGGCTCCCAGGGCTCCGGCCGCCCACTCCCCTTCCTCTCCCCTTCCTCGCAGGAAAGGGAAGGGCCCGCCTTGGAATCACCCTGCATTTCGGGAGGGGCATGCCTTTGAGCACAGCCCCACCCCCACCGCCGAGGCCCCGCATTTTCACATTCGGCTGTTTTTCATTCCCTTCTTCCCGTGCCAAGAGCATCAAGCCCTGGCTCCCGCTGCCGACCTGCCGCCCACCCTAAACTGAGCCCCATTCATTAAGGCCGCTCTCGGCCGGGGCAGGACAGGAAGGAAAACAGCACACAGGGCCTGTGAAAGAGACACTCAGAGAGGTTATTTCAAGGCGGAGGAGGGGAAGGAGGAGGCAATCCTGGTGGGCGCTTTCACCGCTCGCACCTGGATGCCTACCTTCCCATCCCCAAAGCAGGCTCTCACCCTCCTGCCTCTGCTAACCCCTTCCCCTGCCCAGCAGCCCCCCCCCCCTCCCCCCGGCTCTGCAGCCACCGCAGCCCCCAATGGCCTCATCCTCTGCAAGGCAGACACACCCCGCCCTGCCCCCCACCCCCCCATGGAAAGATCAACTTCTTGCAGAGGAGGAGGTTTGGGCCGTCTCCATTTACAAAACCCTCTGCCCTGGCCCCCGGCCAGTACAATCATCTTTTGGGGGGCATTCTCGATGCAAAGGGTGTAACCCTAGGTTTTCTCCATGCCCATCACCTCCCCTCCAGACACCCCCAAACCGCGGGCACCAACCCAAAACACAATTTCTTCAATTCCCCCCCGCGGCACATTATTAATAAACTGCTCCAACTCCGAACGGAAAGAAGAAAGAGCTCAAACTTTGAAGCCTTGGGAATTAGTAAATCAAGAGCTGAAATTCAAAACAAATGCTCTTTCATGTTAGGCCCCCCCCTTTTTTTCCTTCTTGCAGTTTTGTTAAACCACGGGATCCCTTCAGAGGCAAGCACGCCTTCCTAGCAGCTCCTCATTCATCTAACTGGTTGCAATTATGAGGGGGTGAGGGGGGGCAGGATTAATAACTGTTTTACACACACACACACCCCGTTTCTTTCTAGAACTGGAAAAGCTTTTGGGACAAGAAGCCCACCCATCTCAGAAGGGGCTCCATGGGGTGTCCTGTTTAGTGGGTCGCAATGCTCAGCTGTGGGGCGCACAGGGAGGTGTCGTCACTTCCTCCAGCAGAGGAGACAGACAAGATGTTATCAATCAGACAAGCCTTCCCAAGGCCCCCTTTCAAAAGCTGCCACTTCCCCTGCTTACTTCATGTGGTTCAGAGGGGCCGGGTGCCTCCTGCATGCTCAGGATTTAAAAACAAAACCATCTAACAGCATCCTCAGTGTTATTGTGCCCAGACCCTTTCCTCTCCCTGGCCTTCTTTCTTTCGGGAACTCTCGGAGCCTTAGAAAGCAGAAAAGACACAGTTCCCGCGTTCCCGCGTGGCCTCCCCTCCTCGCAAGCTCTGGCTCACTCCCATCCTCCCTCCCAGCCTGAGCCCCCTCCCCGCTCTGGGGGTCCCACTTTGTCCAGCTCAGTTTTCATTAGGAGCTTTGAGTCAACAATCCCTTCTGTCTCAGATAACACTCAGAGTATATACTGCATAGAAATAAAAACAAACAAGGTCTCCCCGAAGACACTCTCCGCAAGCTCCATTCCTGGTGAGGCGCTGGGCCGGACTGTCCGGGATGACCTGGGCCTGAGCGACGCTCGACCAGTCGGGCACCTCACAGGAGAGGATGCACCACAATCCCCCACAGACAGTCTTACAGCGTCCCTCTGAGCCGCCGTGGTCCTACACCAGTGCCCGAAACAAAGGCAAGAAAGGACAAATGCCCAGACGCTGCTGGAATGTTCCCCCGGGTTACTTTCCTCTTGCTGTAGCTAGTTTTTAGAAAATCCAGTGGTGGCATCCTGGGGCGGAAAGACAGGTGGAAACAGGATGGCTTTGGAAAAGAACAGCAATGCCTCTCAGGTACATTGCTAGTGAGTTTCCCCGAGTTTATCACTCTCTTCTCCTCTCTCAGGGACAGTGATGCTCGGGCGACCCAAGGCCCCTCATCCAATCCCGTAACCACCAGCTCTAAGGAAAACCCTCCCTCCTGGGAAGCAGCAGCGTGAGTGCCTGTGTCTGTGCCCAGACCCTGTCCCTGGCATCCGGCATCCGGCCCCGAGCTGGATGGGGAATCAGGACTTGGAGAAGCACCAAGGGCTTCTGCTCTGAATGCCCCTCCTACACTTGGGATCTGTCTTCGACAAGTTCCCGAAAAGCGGACCCTTCCCCTTGGAGACCCCCAAAGCCCACATGACAAGAGCAAAAACAAGAGCTGGAACCTATGAACTGATGACAACAAGGTCGCCACATGGACGCCCCCAGCCAGGGGTTGCTTAACAACAACCATAAAACACAGCACAACACCCGTCCCAGGTGGACCCCATTTCCTCACCCAGGGAGCGGCCCTGTGTCCTGGTGTGTCAGGGCTTCAGAATGATGAGCTGAAGGGCCCCAGCGACACCAAGATCACATCCAGTTTAACGCACAGAAAAGTGAGAATCCCAGACCAGCTGGGGTGATAGAAGGCTGGCCACCCCTCCCCTCCCCCCCGTTCCTCCATCTCCAGTAATTTCAAGGTCTTGGAATTTGCCAGGAAAATCCGAGAAGGTGTCTTACCTGAAAGCCCCCCAGGGGCCAGATAATTCGTTCCCCCTGTTTCAGCGGAGGAAGGCACAGCATCTGGACAGTCTGCTGCGGATTTGAAAAGGGGAGAGAAAGAAATTAATACACAAATAAATAAAAACACCAAGATTAATTTTTAAGCACATTCTAACCAGCATTAAAGAGAAACCACACATTCCAAACTGCTGACTCCCAGCCACGAGGCTGAGTATGAATGGGCCGCTCAGGGCTCGCTGCCCATCATAAGACAGACCACAGCACCTTGTCCCCCGTCTGGGCTCCTCCGAGGCCAGTTAATCATTAGTCAAGTCAGGCTCCATCGCAGACTGGCTGGAATTTCTCCCCCATCGAGGAAACCAGGTAGCTGCCAAGGTCAAAGGGGGCCCAGGTTCTGACTCTCAACCCTGGCGGCCGTCTCCCTTGCCATGGATCCCAGGGCCTCCTTGCCTGGACCCAGGGGTCTCTCTGCCACCCCCATGGTCCAATGTCTCACCCTCATCTTTTTCAAGACAAACTTCCCAGTTCTTAGGACTTTCTCGAGACGGGGGTTGGGCTACAGGGGCTTCTTTCTCCTGTTTAACTGAGGTGCAACAAACACAGGAGAGAATCCACCTCTCAGGTATAACTCCATGACCTGTACTCATGCCTACACCTGTGTAGAGCCACCACCAGATCAAGAGCAAGAACATTCCCAGCAAGACTCCCAGCCGGAGGGGAAATGCTCTCTACCTGCTTCCAGGTCTAGTCCACACTCCCCATCTCTGGAAACCTTCCCAGGCAACCCCGGACCTGCAAGGCTCTCTGCCCTCGCTTGCTGGCACCCAGCACATGAGTTCCCTTCAGATCCTGTCTGTGCTCCCTATACTGTGGAACCCTCAGGTACTAGCCCCAGTGACCTGAGAGCCAATGAGAATAATGACAAACCGAGCTGAGAAATCGACAGACAGACTTGCCAACTTCCCGCCAAGCAATTAACACAAAACAAAAAATAATGCCCACAAATCAGAACTAATCAGTCCCAGGAAACAAAACTACACCAGACCCCGTCTTACTCAAGTCCAGCGAGAAAGGCTGGCTCAGAGAAGGGGCTTCCGGCTGGGCAGCAAACACCACACCAGGGTGGACGTTGCAGATACCGGTCCCCAGCCCAGGCCACTAGCAGGAGGTACCTGGATGAACGTTACAGTTTCCCACTGAAACCACCTGGTCAATAGGAAACCAAGCAAAAGAACAGTCTGGAGGCCAGTGGCCCACGGGAGCCTTTCACTAGCCCCGCAGCTGTTTCCATGACCTGATAAAGGGAGGTAGGGGGCCTACAGGTAACGCCCAGGCACCTCTGGGTTTCTGCTGCCTACCCCCCTCGGCTCTCTCTCATCCCTCCCCAGCATCCTGTGGCATTCTCGCAGGCTGGAAACACAACTTTTCAAGAACTCTCTTAACCCGGAGAGGGGGAAACGAGGAGTGGTGGGAGGCAGGGAGGGAGAGCCTGTGTCTGATCTCATTGTATCAGTGTAAAGTACAATTCCTAACAGGAATATACAGTTTTACAGGATACACTTAATCAAATGGAAAACAATGGGGGAGGGCAGGAAATGGAGTTGCTTGTTGCATGGTGTGTCCCCTGCACTTTCTAAAGCTACTTGGATGGTCTCTGCATGTTCTACAGATTGGCTGCTACCTACCCCCAAATGGAAGACACTCCCACATCAACCACGATGACTTATCCAGGGCGCTCCGCTCCGCTCTGCTCTGCTCCCCCCACCCAGTCCTGGCTGGCTGAATCCCAGGGCAAGGTGTGTTTCAAAGGAAGGGCCCGGCCTCTCAGAGCAGAGCTGGGACCACATTCAGGGTGTCGGCCTGTCTCAGATCAAAGGTAAGCCAGCTCCGCACTGGCAACCACAAGCGTTTTTATGAAATGGTGCTCTGCCCTTCTGCAGAGTCTTTGATCTCAGGAGGGATTTACAAACATTAATTAGGCCTCTCTACCACCCCTGTGAAGTAGCAAAGTATACCTGTTCGACTGGCACCCAGGTAAACTGAGGCGTCATTGACTAGCCCAAGGGACCACCCGGTGCGCTGGGCCATGCCCAAGGGTTCAGCACCTGTCCCAAACGCTCCCTCCCCAGGCCCCAGAGCCCTCGCTCCCTGCCCTGCAGCAGGCAGGCCAAGAGGCTTCCGCATCCAGACTGGCCCCAAGCTACGGCCAAGGCTTGTAAAGTAAGGTCAAGGCAGCCACACCTCCATCGCTTGCTCAGCCAGAGAACAGCTGCAAAGCCAGGGGCTCTGCTTCGGCTGGTGATGCCCACTCCCCAGAGCCCAGGCTGGCACACACTCCTAAAGCCTAAACACGGCCAAGCACCCAGCAAGTGTGGGGCCTGTGGGAGCTCACTCCCTCTCCCAGCAGCAAGAGTCCTAGAACAGCGGTCGCCAACCTTTCGGACCTCACGGACCACTGCGTCCGCGGACCACCGGTTGGAGACCACTGTCCTAGGAGATGCAAGCCTGGGGATCAGTGGAGGAGTACAAGGTGTCCAGAGCCAGGATAGTCTTGTCAACTTAGTTCCGAGCTTCCTAAATGCTATCCAGGACAGAGGACCCACGGCCGCCGCCACCACCACCACCAAACACGGAGCGTCCCAGCTCTGCCCCAATCCATAACCCTGGTCACAGAAGGACAACCTACTGCATTGGAAGTATCCCAGTTTTTAGGCAGGCACATCATCAGGCCTGCAGAATGAATGAATGAATGAAGCAAAAACTGAGCAAATGAATGGTAACTCTTTGACCATCTGGATTTATAAAGAGGCCTGGAAAAGGTCAGAGTAGGCCGAGTTAGCAGGTAAAGGCAGGTTAGGGCCCTAACTTCCCAGCTGGACTTGGAGGCTCCATCTGCCAATGGACACTAGCTCCCTGGGCCTAACCCCCAGCAACAGCCCCGTCCCCATCCATGCTTCCAACCATGGGGCACAAGAGCCACCCCCTCCATGAAGTGAGATCTCACTGCAAACACCATGCCCTTACCCTTGGCGCAATGAGGGAAGGAGGGGGTCTTCGTCACTTCTGATTGCCCCAGGACACACAGCCACCCTGTCCCTAGGTTACTCTAACGCTCCTTCCCAGAAAATGCTGCTGGCTGGGACCACCTGGCACCCAGGTCAACAAACCTCAGGCCCTCACCGAGGGGGCAGTGAACCACAGCAAAACGGAGCGTGGCTTTCAGCCCCGGGTCCCTCTGACAGCTGCAGGTTAGGATCCAGCCCCCTTCCCGCTGCCGCATCTCAAGTTGGAAGACTTCACAGAAAGGATTCCCTGAGTTGCGCAACTGGTTAAGATTTTAACAGTTGTCCATTGTAAAAGCCTTATGACTGGTTCTCACCTAGTAACCCAAGACCAAAAATTCCACCCAGAGCTTAGAAACTTAAGAATGTAAGTGGCAGCCCAGCCGGCGTGGCTCAGTGAACCTATGAACCAGGAGGTCAGGGTTCGATTCCCGGTCAGGGCACATGCCCGGGTTGCAGGTCCAGGGTGGAGTGTGCAGGAGGCAGCGGGTCAATGATTCTCTCTCATCACTGATGTTTCTCTCTCCCTTCCTCTCTGAAATCTATTTTAAAACTTTTAGTAATAAAGAATGCATGTAAGTGGCAGATCTAAATTCCCCAGCCAAATATTCTTCTCCCACGTATAAGGTGAGGAGAAAAACCTGGGCAGCCCCCTCATCTGTGTATCTGACCTCATCACCCCTGGCCCGAGTAGCCAGCAAAACCAGCCCCAGCCCCTTCCAAGTGTCAGGACAGTTCCTTCCCCGGGGCTTCCCCTGTTACCACCCTCCATGTCCTCAAACACCACCTCCGTTTCTTCATTTCTTTTGTTGTTGTTGTTGTTTTATTTTACACAAAGCATTTTGGGTGAGTAACCAGCTGTTTCAGTTTCCGATTGGCAGGTTAATCACTTCCTATTGGCTGATCTGCAGAACTTTTCTCCCCCTTGGAAATGGCACACTCCTGTCTTTGTGGCTTCTCTGTTTACACACATTTTGCTACCTAATGTCAACACTTGCTAATGAATAAATATATCACTCCACTCACTGAAATGTCCTGGCCTGGCAGGATGGCCGCTTAAATCGGGTGAACAGGCTTATTCCGGTATCTCTGCAGGAAACCCAAGAGAATATAACCCTTTTCTTCTATGGGTATAGGTTTCTGGGGACATTTTATCCTTAGTTGCCTTTACTCCAGGGAGGTGGTCAAGGTGACTGGTCTGTCTCTCTTTTGGGGAAATCTTCCAAATTTGAAGACTATGGAAGAAAAAAACAAAAACAGGACAGAGGTGGCCTTTGGAGAGCTAACCTCAGGAAAGAATTCTTGGGTCTTGAAGCCAAAAAACCCTGTCAAAGTTATTCTTTGAGAAAACAGGGCTTGATAATTTCCGTGAACATTTGCTGCAAATACAGAGAGCTGGTTATCTCCTCATTAATGACCATTTATCTGGTGTTTTGTAAATCGAAAGCAAAATATCACATGCTTTGCAGGCCACTTATTAGACAGGCACCAGGCAAGCAGCAACGCCTGCCCGACTTGAGGGAGCGGCGCGGAGTCCCGGGAGGGCTGTGGGCTTCGGTTACACCGTTCATTAAAGTATTTAATTTATGACAACGCCCCAGCAAAACTTTTAATTAGTGGGGGGAAAGCCCAGCAGGCAAAACTCAGGAGGCGAAGGACTTGTAGAATTCCAAGAGCGAAATGAGGCCCAACCCTTCACTTTTCTCAGAACCTTGGCAAAAAATAACATTCTATTTTCCAGGCATCCAGTACACCGAGCACAGAGTTTCAAAGCTACAATCACTACTTTTCAGCTGAGGAGCCTCCCTCCGTAAGAAGGGGCTCCTGGACACAGGGCCACCCCCTGGTCACCCCCACGGCCCTTCCTTCCCTGCCTTGCTGACCCCCCCCCCCCCCCCCCCGCCCTCCACTCCCCCGGGCACTGCCAGCTCCATAGGGTGAGCCCTGCACTGCCAGCCAGGAGTTGAATGCAGACAATCACAACAGGGCTGGTGCCAGTCTCCAATGAGCTTTTGGCCTGGCCCCATGCCACCCGGTGACAAAGCAACAGGCAGGCAGAGCTATGCCAGAAACTTTTATAGCCCCGACCTAGAATTCTGAGAAAATCCGGGAGGAGTGCTGACTTGCCGGGGAGGGAGGAGAGGAAGCCCATGAGGGTGGTTTCGTCTTGGTTTCTTACATCTTCTAAACCTTTTACTCCCAACCAGAGTCTTCTCTGCACCTTTTTAAACTGCCTTCCCTTCCACCGAATTATCCATTCTTCCCCCTGACTCCACCGGCGCTCACAAAGCCTCCAAATGTTCCCATCAACCTGTCCTCTTTGGCTCCCAAGACACTTCTGTGTGGATCCAATTCCACGTGTTAATAAACCTGAGCCAATTTGATCCCGGTGCAAATACATGGGAAAAAGAACAAATTGTAAAGCACATCTAAGAAACCCTTTAAAAATTTATACACACACACACACACACACACATGCATACATATAATCTCCAGCCACAACAAAAACAGAAACATCCAAACTTCCAGCACAGGAAACCTATAACCACCTCCAGGCAAACCCAGCGCCTCCCCAGGCCGCTGCCAGGACATAAAAACCCGCGTTCTAGAGGCTCTGTGTCTCACTCCAGAGACGAAGGATATTTTTAAAATCATCCACTCACCAGTTGGTTTGAGAAAATCCATCGGGTATCTGGAGTAGGGAGGAGGAGGAGACTCTGGAATTAAGAAAGTAAGAGAAAATAAAGGCCGAGCCATGAGAACCAGAGATAAAAACTTACGATAACAGAGGCATTCTTTCAGCCCAACTGTTTGTCTTAGCTGTGGGGGTTGGAGGCAGGGCCGCGAGGCGGTGATCGCCTTGATATTTAGCTGTCAGATAAACAAAAGAGGCCGCCTGGCGCCAGCCGCGGGCTCCGCTCCTCCGCGTCTGCGGACGCCACCGCGGCGCTCCGCCGGCCCCGGCTGGAAACCACCCGGCCCGCCGCGGCTCTGCGGGCCGCGCACTTCGGTTCCCAGGGCGGGGGGCGACGGAGCCCCCCTTCCTAGTCCCCGGACTTCAGACCCCGCTCCCAGCGCCCGACACCCCCGCCCCGGACCGCCCCCGCCGCTCCGGGAGGCACCCGCGGGGGAGCACCCGGCTCCCCTTCCCAGCCCACCCCAGAGACACCCCAAGTGCGCTGGTGAACTTAGGAGGCTCTGTCGGCACCGGGGCGCACCCTTCCCCCCCCCTGCACCTAGACCCAGAAAAAAGGGAAGCAGTGGAGGAGGCCGCGCGGACAGAGAGGTGGCGGCTGGGGTCTCGATCCAGGCCCAGCGCAGAGAGGGGCAGCTCCCGAGGGGCCGGCAGACCACCCCCTACAGTGAACGCTGTGCTTTCTGGGGCGGGAAGAAAGGGAAGCAGGGAGCAACCAACTTCTGACTCCTCGTTCTCTGTGACCCTGGGCTGGCAGCGTGGAGGGTAGAGTTGTGAGGGTCCGGCCTCCCATCCTAACCCTCTTTGCCCCCAGATCCCTAAAGCTGCGCGGCCAGGGCAGTATCCCGGCCCCCGCGCCCGAGTGACTGACTCTCCGTATTGACTAAAGGCGCAGAGACTTCCCAGCCTTTACAGCTCGCTTCTCCCAGCCTTCCTTGGCGGGCTTGGACCGAATCCAACTCGGCCACACACCTCAACGCCTTTCCGGGTGCGGGGGAGGCGTGACCCCTACTTCTCTCTGCACCCCTTAGCTGATCCGGAAGTGAGGACGCCTAATTTCTAACCGCCTGTCTGCAGTGTGTGCACGAGCAGCGTCACAGCCGCCACCGGGACAGCATAGGAGAAGCATCTGTAAGGGAACCCCCGGGAACGCCCTCCAGTTTCCCGGTCCCTTCTTCACTCGTCCCCAAGTCTCCCACCAGGAAGGGCTGGACACTCCCCTCCGGAGCGGTGGCTCCACACACACACAGCCCACGGGGGCTTTCCTCCATCACTGCAGCGCCGGGGGGAGGGGGTGGGCGCCGAACAACTTCTTACCTAGTTCGCAGAGTCGACTAAGGTGATGGGGGTTGCAGCACACCAGCTCGGGGTTGATCTTCCCGTAAGATTCACAGCAACACAGCCTCTTGACTTCCGAGGAATGCCTGAGATCCGGCCACCTGAACACTTTGCACAGCAGGAGGGGGAGCGAATAGGACGAGGGCGACTGGGCGGGCTGCGAGCCGGCGGGCGCCCCCAGGCCCAGCCTGCAGTCCAGGCGGCCGGGCAGCAAGAGGCACGCGGTGCGCGTACCGCCGCGGGACTCCACGGCCTGGAGCAGCAGCTCCAGCTGCCGTTCCTTCAGTTTCTTGAGCACCGAGTGGGTGAGTGCCTTCAGATCCGCCTCGGCGCACCCGGCCGCACCGGTGCCCGCGGCTGGGGGGTGGGGATGGTGACCTTTGGCACCTCGGGCCGCCTTGCCCAGGCAGCAGCCAGCCCTGCCTGCGCCGCTGCCACCGGCCCCATGTGCCCGTCCGTCCGTCGCCCCTTCTCCCCGCAGCTCGCCTCCTCCTCCACCTCCCCCCGCGCCCTCCTCCTCGTCCTCGCCGCCGGGCGCACGGCTCCTCCAGAGACGCCGGACGAGCGCAGATCGTTTGGTCCTGAACATGCGGGGCGAGGAGGCAAGGAGAAAAGTCGTTTGCCGGCTAAGGAGCGAACATGACCTCCGCACACCATGAAGAAGTCGGGCGCCGAGTTGTGGCAGCAGGCGCAGGCGACAACAGCAGCAGCAGGGGCCCGGGCAGGAGCGGCGACGGCCCGAGGGGCGCTCCGTGGCATGCGCCAGTCTCCCGGAGGCCGGGGCGCGCGCGGGGGCCCGGAGGCGCCCGCCGGGGCTCGGGGGCCTGCGCTCCGGCTGCCCCACCCCGCGCGGCCCGCGCCGAGCGCGGCTCTCGGGCCCCGGCGCACCCCGGAGGAACGCAGCCGCCGCTTCCCTGGGGTCGGCGAAGCCTGCCGGGGTCGGCGCCTCCCCAAAAAGAGGCCCCCCCGCAGCGGCTCCCGACTGTCGGGCTCGCCAGCCTCGGCTTCCTACATGGAAGATCCGCGGGGGCAAAAAACGGAAGGCGTTCGGCTGAGCTGCTGGAGGGAGGTAAAAGCCTCTTTCCCCCTTGCTAAGCAACTTAATTTGGGGGTGGGGAGAAGCAGGCAATTTTTAAAAAAGCAGGCACGCGATTTATTTTTTTCCTCTATATCCTTAGTAACCGGATCTCCTCAAATTCCGTGCACACGAAGACTCGGAGGAGGGGGCCGAGCGGACTTCACCCCGCATGAGATGTCTGGCGAAATAAAGGCTCAAAATCTAATAACCAAATATGCAAAGCCCCGAATGAAAACCACCACCACCTCCTCGCACACTGGAGATCTGGGGCCGTCAGACTTGAGCTGGGGTTAAAAAAAAAAAAAAAAAAAAGAAAAGAAAAAAGAAAATGTTTACAAAGTAGAACAAGACGTTTGAAGGGTGGAAAAAAATGTATCCACGAGTTACAGCTCCCCTTTTTCCTTGCAGATCCCCGCTGGTCTTCCTCTCCGTTTCTTCTGCCAAAAGAAAAAAAAATCGTATATCTTTTTAATCCACAGAAAGCTTTGGCGAGGCTTCTCCAATCCTCTGCATCTGGGTGTTTTAGGGGAGTCTCTGGTCTTTCCTCCTTCGCTCCCAGGAGCTCTGGTCCTCGGCGGGGACTTCCTCGGGGCTGGCGGGGGCGCAGAGGCAAAAGATGCTGCGGCGGCGGCGCCCGGCGGGGCTGACAGCGCGGGGGAGGGCGGCGCGGCGGCGGCAGCGGGCCCCTGGCGGGTCGCGCGCTCTCGCCCTCCTGGGCGCAAGCTGCTGGCTAGTGCGGGGGCCGCCGGCGCCCCCTCCCCTGGCCGCTGCTGGCCGCCAAGCTCTCGGTATGGGCTGCTCGCCTCAACCCGGCTGCGGCGGCAGGAGGCCCCGGTGTCCTCACGCCGCCTCCTCCTCTGAGAGTCTCCTCGTCGCGCCGGGAGCCTCCTTGTCCCCCGTCCGCCCTCTCCTGGCGCTCGGGTCCTTCTGCCGCCTCCGGGGGCTCGCCGCGCCGCACTCAGGGGCTCTGGGGCCGGGCTCTCGGCAGCTCGGCGCCGGCGGGCTGGCTCTGTCTGGAGCAGCTCTCTCGGCGCGGCGAGCGGACCGAGCAAGGCGCCCGGCTGGCTCGGCTGGCGCGGCTCGGGGACAGGATCCTCCGCGCGCCGTGCGAGCGAGTGAGTGTGCCCCAGGCTCGTCGCCTCCCGCAAGGCCTCCCGCCCCCGCCCCCTTCCCTCCTCCTTCCTCCCCCTTCCCTCCCCCGCCCCCAGCCGCCGCCGCCTCCCTCCCCCCCACCCCCCGCGGGCCCTCTGCTCTGCTGGTTCCACTGCGCAGTGGCGCGCCCGGCTCCGGCCTCGTCACGTGGCCGTCTAGACACCCTGTCGCTTTAAAAAAAAAAAAAGCGATTGTGTTTCGCAAACAACAGATCGGGTTTCTAAAAGCTATTTCTGCCCCCCGCCCCCCGCCACCGCCACCCCCTCCGGGGTTTGCAGAGAGGGGAACCTTGGTGGGGGGTGCGAATAAAGGTGGGGAGCAAAGAAGCTCCCAGAGTCGACTGAGATCTGGCCGGATCAGAGGAGAAATGGGAAGCCGCGAGGGCACCCAGCGGGCTTCGCAGACCAGTTTTGGAGCAGAACGAGCCGGTCGGTGGCCCGATGGAGACCCAGCCCGGGGAGCTTCGCCGTGGCTGTCCCGCGCGCTTGCCCTAGCGCTTCATTCATTCGTTTTGTTTTAAAGGCCCTGGCGGCAGATCCCTTGGCCGCGCGGGAGGGAAGGGGGAGGAGAGCGCTGTCTCGGTTTAAAAGACATTTACACTGGACTGGACCGAGGCCCTGGGAGGTGTGCGCTGGAGGGAACAGCCGGGCCGCCGAGGGCGGGGAGGCGGCGCGAATGTGACCTCAGCGGCGGGCGCGCGCTCCTCCCGCCCTCTCCCGCTCCGAGCTCGGGTTTCTAGGACTGCCTGGAGAAGTGTGTCTTGTGCGCAGCTCTGGAATGCATTTGGCTGGTTGACGAGCTGCGAGGGGCAGCATCCAGGCGAGAGAAGGGGAGCGGGAGGGGCTCGCACGCCCGCCGCCGCCAGGTTTCCTCTGGAGCCCGGAAGACCTCAGTCACCCCGCCTCCCGGCGCGGGAAGGTTACCTTTGGAGCAGACCTGCCCAGGACATGCATATGCATGCGGGGCTGTTTCTGCGCCCTCTTTGGCCCGGTAGCTTTCAAGGTGCTTAGGGTCAGAGAGTTTATCCCCTGACTCCAGATCTGGAGGAAGCCTAGACCCGCTGACAGATGACTGCATGGAAACGGGTAAAACATTGCTAGGGCAGAGGACCAGAAGCGTTTAGTTTGTGAAAGCAGATGGTACTGAGAAACGTACTGATTTAAATATATAGGCATCGGTATTAACGAGGCCACTAGTTGGCATGGTGATCTAACCTCACATCTTATTTCATGAAATACGATTTTTTTTTCATGTCATTTAGAATTGTGAGATCAGGAGGACAATGAAACTGATTGGGGAGTTGAAGGGATCTTTAGAAAAGGTGAGATGTACTATTTCCATTTTTCCAGCTAAATTACACATTAATAAAAGGAAAAAGCACAAATGACTCTTTGCGTTATAGCTCAGCCCCACTCTCCTCCAGCAATTTACAGATGTCTGGCATGCAATAGATGCTCAATAAATACATAGGAATCAACATAGTGGATAGGACTTAAAGGGCCATTTGGACCTCACCCCAAACCCACCTAAAGCACCTTTGGAGATATAAATATGAGAGAAAATCAGGAACACTGATTACAGAATCATCTCCAAGCAAGGGGGTCCTGACTACCCAGAGATGACAAGTGCAGAAACATTGTAGCATGGGAAAGAAGCTGGCATTCTACACTGAGTGGCCAGATTATTATGACCACCCCATCAGTACAATGAAGTGAATTAGTTATGCAAATAATAATAATAATAATAAAACCTTGAGTATTTGCTTAGGAAGTTTTCAATATTCAGTTTTGCAGGTGTCAGTGAAGTACTGATGGTGTGGTCATAATAATATGGCCATTCAGTGTATACATTACTTTGTAAGGCCACATAGGCTGCACTTGTATAAGTTCATAATTTTGTAATAAAAATGTTGCTTATTGAAAAGACACTGTGTGTGTGTGTGTGTGTGTGTGTGTGTAACTTTCTAAAGAAGCAACCTGCCAAGGTAGCAGCCTGGAAAGCCCAGGAGAAAAACAGAAAAATGGGTGAGGGAAAGGTTTAGATGTGGGTGATCCCATCAGCATAGGCCGGGAAAGATAGAAGAGACAAACATGAGATTTTCGAGGTGTCTGAGAAATGTATAACCTTAGAAAAGCTGCGAAAAAAATACCAGATTGGAAGTCAGAAAACCTGATTCCTGGCTAGGGCCCTGCCACTCACTGGTTAAATAACTTGCACTGGTGGTGATCCTCACATCAGGAGAGCAGTTGGCAGGGTTTTAGAAGCTCTCTGGGCAAGGTTCCTGCTCTCGGGGTCCCATTCCTCTCTATGCTCCGGCCTCCCTAGAAGATCTTCACTCTTCAAGAGAGGCAAGGCAAGGCTCTCGAAGTGACGGAAAGGACTTAAACTGAAAATCAAATGTCATCACTCAAAGTAAGCTTCGGATTGTGGAGAATCTGAACGTTTGGAAATCTGGCCAATGGTGCTAACACTCTGTAAGGAGAGGCCAGGCACACACAGGGCAGGGAGGGGTAGTGGGTGTTTCAGGAGTTGAATCTGACGTCACAGCTTGTCTGGGTGGAACATGCATACACTTGCAGAGATATGTTCCCATATAGTGTAATTGTGGGTGTTTTAATTCAGGCGTCACCCCTCTCTTGCCCTCTCCACGCGGCTTTCCTCCTCCATTTTACTGCCCTAAGTAGATGATGGGTGGGATGCTGGGCAAGTAGCTACAATGCTGGTGCTGCTTTATTGGCGCCCTGGCATTCCCTGAATCGGTTAACATCCTGAGGCTTCCTGAGAGCGGGCCCCACCCAGTCACATTCTTATTCCTTTCCTTTCCAAGAAAGAAGCTGGGGCGCAGAGAACTCCTGACTGGCTGGGGTGCCTAGAAAGGGAGTTCCTTTCCTTTCCACGGGCCTAAATGAGACCGACAAGCACCCTGTTTCAAACTATTCTGATCGTTTAAAAGGAAGAAAGAAAAAAAAAAGTTTAGAAGTTCACCAAACTATTGTGAATGAGTTTGATTCTAATCATTTGCTGGCAGGGAATATGGAATAAAATATCTCATGTGCAGTTGTTTATTTCCTGTTGTGGCTTCTATTTTCATCTTTTAGTCACTTTGGTGATAGATATCAAACTGAAATCATGGTGCAGCCACAAGTCACGGAGACCAAAATAACTTGCAGCCGAGTTATGACAACCCAGGATGGAGTCAGCTCAAGACCTGGCTACTTAATCACTGGCCCCTGGCACCCGGATGGCTGCGGGGGCTGCCACTTGACTGACCGCTGGTGAAGCATCCAGAGGAGGGAGGAAGCCGGAGGGAAGTTTCTCCCAGGCCCCTGGTCCCCAGCACTCAGGGCCCCAGAGTGCACGGGAAGTGGCAGACACACCGGTGAACTGTCCACAATGGCCAGGGGAGATTGCCTTGAGAAAGAGGAAGGCAGAAAATAAGAATCCATAGAACTCTGCACACCTACAAGCAACCCTGAGCAAAAGCAAACAGACAGCCCTAGCTGGTTTGGCTCAGTGGCTAGAGCGTTGGCCTGTGGACTGAAGGTTCCCAGGTTCGATTCCGGCCAAGGGCACATGCCTGGGTTGCAGGCTCGATCCCCAGTAGAGGATCTGCTGGAGGCAGCCGATCAATGATCCTCATCATTGATGTTTCTCTCTCTCTCCCCCTCTTCCTTTCTCTCTGAAATCAATAAAGAAATATTTAAAAAAAAAAAAAGCAAACAGACAGTCCTGTCCAGGGAAGACAGGATTCTTCCTTGCAGTGTTTTTCTCCTTTCCAGGGGTTCCTGGAAGAGAAGGGTGGAAGAAGGCCCGAAGTGCAAGTGGGTGTATGTTGGTGGAGCCAGGGACGGGGGTGAGGGCGGGGGTGAAGCAGAGATGAGGCAGGGATAAGGATTTCTCCTTGCAGAAGCCAAAAGAGAAAAACAATCGGAGAGGCCAAAAAAGTATTGGAAAATGCTGACATTTCTTGCACAACTGAAAAATGCGTGAGTGAGCCCCAAACCATCCTGAACTGGCAGCCACACACATGGAAGCGATGGTTCAGGAAAGGAAGCGGGCGGGAGTGAGGCCCATGTGACCATCAGCACTTCTTGGCTTATCTTAGAAGAACAGGAACCTAAGTGAATGAAAATGCAGGTAATTCACAACCAAACAGAGATGCTCTCCGCCCTGACTCATCAGGTATTC